ACGGTCGTAAATACTTGGTGAAAATTCCAGGTCTGGCGTCTCCAATAAAACGGATTATTTAGGTCAGTGCGTTTATGATAATTGTCGAGATTCGAAATGGGGTAAAGTGAGTTGGGGTAATTCCCGTTTTACGAGTACTCCCGTGAAAACTTGACGACATTACTTTGTACAGGGTGGCTCACATAAAATTGCGGGTCGGATAACTGGCAAACGGACTGCGATATTGAAATTGACCAAACGCCATTGGTTGTAGCTGGAACATGAACTCCCCAGATATTGTAGTGTTCTATATGTATGGTGCCAAGACGCGTCGTGTTTAAAAACAATAGCGTTAACAGAATTTCAATAGCTGGACCGGTTCTAGGGTTGTGTCCCGTGGATTTTTATGCTAGACATCCTGTATGTATAAGGCTCTGAGCACTATAACAAATGATCATTAATGCAGGGAGCCCGGATTGCTTTTGTAGTTGGTAATAAACGGTAAACACCGGCACTGACACCATCGTGGAATGAATGTGGGGCTACTGCTGCGATTATGTTCGCGTCACAATCATTATACCAATTTCACACACGTACGTGAATGAAGCCCTCTCACTCGGGCTGCTGTGTTTGGCTCTGAAAGAAAGGAAACGACACAAAGGGGCGGTTTCCTCTACTACGTGTGAAGTCGATACGGCTTTATTCCGTTATATCTGAATTAATATGACACTGCACAAGACAATAACTCAATTAGGGGGTGCATGACAAGCTCGGTTCGTTTGGCTACTGTTGGAATAAAAGCGGTTTTAAAGTAGTCATTTAAAAAGAAATCGATAGACGTGAAATTCGTTTTCAGAGAGGTAGGTGTAGGCTTTAAGCAAATCCGCGGCTCTGTAGTTGTTGTACGAGGTTATGTGCAAAATTTAGTAATTTCCGTAGAAAATTCTGTTCGCTGTATTTTTTCACTACACTTTTATAAAAGGGATGGACGAATCCTCCATGAATGCTCTTTTCAAAGAAAATTAGCTCGACTGGATTGAAAAGTGTGTAGCGTTAGCCCAAGTTCAGTCTTGTGGAATTCTAGGAAATCACCTTATTTTAGAAAACTCCTTCAAGAGGTAAAACTCTAGTAGCTTGAGTGATATTGTGCACTTCTTCCGTATACTAAATAAATCATTGTAGCTATACTTATGTAAATCAAGATCAATTATCTGCTTTAAGCAGCTTCTAGAATATGAAAAAGTCGGTCTTCCGTTGCTGTCTGGCTCTCGGCCATCTGCTGACTATTCCGTAAGACACGTCAACTTACTTAAAAACAACTGGAGCGATTCCTGTGGAATTTTGGGTCTTCTTTAAGACTGTCACGTAGATGGTTAAACGCTAATCAAAATTCGTTTGTACCGCCCCAATAACAATTTGATAACTCAATCGTAAATTTTTGCTAAGTAAATCCTGTTTAAATTTTAGAAAATAATACTATACGTGTGGCTTATTAATCTGGAATTTTAATTTGGACGTGTAGATTTTTGGCAAAAAAATTGAAAATTTGTTCTGGAAAATAGAAAACACACTAAGGTCTAAAAACTTGCTTCGAGATTATCGTCGTTTATCAAAATATTTTTGTATATTCATTGCAAAAATTTGTTCTCAAAATTTTACACTTTATCTTTGAAACTACCAACCTAAATAATTGCTCCGAAATCATCATCGAGATAAAACTTCCCACCAAACTTATAATGACGTCACCTCAACAATGTGCTGCTCAAATGCTGCATAAAAATATTGAAATATGAAGTAGCACAACCATGAATATATTTAATTGGTGTCTGTTAACTATTCGCCTGACAATATAAATATTCTCCATGCCAAATTAAGTGACATTCGTGACAAAATAACAAAATAAATTCTCAAGATTGATAGACTCCGGAGATAGTAACTCTGAAAATATCTCGTCACTCCCACTTAAGTCGTTTCTTGGTTGAGAAGCAGTGAAATATTTAAAAAATATTTTAATTCATGTAAATACCAATTAAGGGCACAGTCAAGTTCGTATTTTTTACCACCTCCGTAAGACAGCACTAACTACAAGCGGTTAATCAATATTTTTATGTTACCAGTTCACTAAATTAAATCTTCCTGTCTAAAAATCATGACAAGAAAAACACCACTCTCCATAGAAAAAAAAATCGTGTAATAAAATTACCTCGCCCACGTGAACATGTAGCACTACATATTCATCAAAATCGATACGCGTAAGTTGTATTTGGGAACCTCTAAACATAGTTACCTATTCCATTTGCTGTAGTGTACATCGAGCTAATTACTGATTGAGTTGTAATTACATTTACTGTTGTATGAGCACTCTTGTATGAACATAAAATTGTGAGAAGCGACTTCTGATAAGTACTTATAAAATGATTCAAGTAAGTACGAGTAGGTAAACGTTTCCAGCTTCAATGTGTCCGATTGATAAAAAATAGGTTACATAAAGGAGAGCCATTAACGTCTAAAATATTGACAGTGTAAATAATAACCTTAAAATTAAACCCATTACTGAAAGTTGCTCATTTGGTCCATTTTAATTAAAAAATCCTGGATGTGTAGCTGCCGTTGTAGTCTATGTTCGTAAACAAGTTTATCGACCTGAAAAATAACGCGTATTTCGTTTGAAGTTGCTCCTTTTTCCAGCTTAAATATTTAAATACTCCACGTACACAAGACTTATAATTTCACCTCAGTACACACGAGAAAAACCAGGAAAATCAAATAAAATTTCCACTCGGAATATTATTCACGTCAGGCAGCATTTTCTAAAATTTAAAATATAAGCGCGGCCGCGCAAAAAGTGAATAAAATATGAATTAATGTCAAACTCTCCCCGCTCGGAATTAATTCAATATAAAATAATCGCTAGTATTGTACATACCCGACGTTTATGCATTAGCCACGCTGACCCTCCTATCAGGCCGACTGATTTATCGAAACGCTGGAATTTAGGCAGATTTCCCACCAAACTCGAAATTTATGATTCCCAACAAGCTGCTACAAAATCTGTCACTTATTCGTGCCGCATCAATGAACTCCACACAAATAAATTCGTTATTAATAACAGCCAGGATGCAACGTAAAGCCCCACAAATCCTCCCTAAGCTACGACCGTTCCGCGACAAATCGACTCAGATCACATTTTTACCGGACATCCGGACCAATTCACATTTGTGTACCATCACAATATGATTCGATTTTTCCGATTCAGTCCTTCGCTCGTTTATTTGAGCGAACTGGGGTATAAATACTGAAATTCTTCAAGTTCTCTGTGTAAGGACCTAATCCTGGTTGTTGCTATGACATCTGCTGCAATCCTGGAATTTTTTATCTGGAACTATATCGGATCCGGAACGGAGGTTATTTTCACGCTAGCGTGAAAACAGATCGCGTGAAGGGAATGGGTGCATGAAACGGGATACTTTAATGTCGTGCTGCACATTTTCTGAGACGCAGATTTAGTCGGGTCTTTTCTGAGTCAGTAGATTAGGGGTTTCGATCCCTGGCACGGGATTCTACCTGCTACCAATACACTGTCATTATGATAGTTGGGAATCAAGTGGTGATTAAAATAAAGAGGAGTCGGAAAGTTTTTCCGGTGCTATCATTTTCCTCAGTGCACGCTTCCACTGCACCACTTCGTTAGATTAATTTTAATTATCGGAAATAGTTCGTAACCTCTTTTAGTTTTTTTCCTGACTTCGACGCTGTAGAAAATTAATACAAAAATTCCCAACATGCCACGACAGAAATTACATCTTCTATAAAGTTTCATCAAGTACTCCTCGCTAACCCCTGCGAAAATGGGGGTCGAAGCGATCATAATAATAAACTTTTATGTTATTACTCCGTACATTTAACTGAAAAAAATATTTGAATTAATTTAACATCCAAGTTTCGTGTGTTCTCTCAGAGGTGTTATTTATTTTTGTGTCTTGGGGATTCCTGAAATTTTACATTCCGTCGGTACCCTTGATGCTTTTAAACAAACAAAATTTGTAATTTAAACCGGCGACAGTTCGTTTTCTAGTTTTAGTATTCCGGCTCTGTCCGGCCCCCTACAGCTGAATAATTAAAACAAGACAAAGGATAAATAAATATTAACTTTCGAGACGCTTTTCTTTCGTTCTTAACCCCTTGATGTATAGGCTCTGATTAAATTGTCTTCCAAAAATTAAGCCCTTAAACCTTCATCTTTGATGCGTTTCGCTAACAAGCCCGGAATCCGCCGCGGAATTTTCCGGAGCTACAGACGCACCGACGTGATTTTGACGGCGATTTTACGTTATTTTCGTAGCAACGAATTAGTGCAACAATAATAATTATACTAATTAATGTTCTAAAAGTGAGTGATGCCGTTTCTAGGACAGTTTGACCTCCTTTGACCTGTCTTAGAACCGGCTTCATCTTCTGTCGACTATTTTAACTTGTTTAGGACCCCCATTATTTTTTGTCGACCGATTGGATCTACTTTTTGTCGAACAATTTAGTCAGTCTTAGGACCCCATGGAAAAGTGTGAGAGTGTGCAGTAAAATAATATGGTTTTTGTGTGTTCACACATATTTAATTTTTCACTTTAATCAAATAGAACCTTTTCGTATAATCGAATTAGGTAACCAAAAAATGTATTGATTTCTTTATTCATTCATAAGCCAATAATTCATTCAAAAGGTCGACGTTTGTCGCCTACAGTCCTCATATTTTATGGAAAATCTGAATATGATTGAAATCTGTGTTTTTAAAAAACATGCGACGTGTTGAGACCATCCGCATATTTTAAGCATTTTTTACAATTTTTGAGTATGAATTTTTGATATAAACACGAATGGTTAAATGTTGCGGCAAAAGATAGTTTGAAATTTCCAAGAACTACGAAATGACAACCATTTCGAGCAGCTCAGTATAATTTTTACGGATATTTTAAACTAGGTGTTAGTGTTTGTAACATGACTGAAATATTTTCCTCTTGTTTCAGGCTTCCCTCACTCTTCATGATGTGGAAGGTATGTATCTCAAAAATGGCATCCACTAAACCTCGAAGTCGCTTTATTTCCGTGTTACTCTGCTTCCCGGATTTAAAAAATGCAGCGTTGACGATGTATCATGTCTCCCCACATTAAATAAATTTCAGCGGTGTTTATGTTCCGGGAGACAAAGGAATAAGTGCATTATAGCAGATGAAATATAAGACATTGTCTACATTCATTACGAGCGTGTCTGGCAAGCACTGAATCCGCGAAAGATATCTAAATATTAGCATCACTGTATGAATGCATAATTGAAACAGTTCGTCTTGCATTATTCATAAAATCGTTAGGTAATTTTCACGTTTCGACGCGTTGTTAATATGCAAACCTGGAAGATCCTGGAACAGGATGACTGATCGTGTGTTTCAGCGAATGTGCGAGCACCTAGAGTTTGCTTCAGCTGGGATGAATGTAATCTACGTGGAATAATTAGGAACGCAAGTTTTAAGCGTGGATAAACAAAAATTGGTAATGGGAAAAGCTGGCACCTGCAGCCGATGAAGTTTTCCTGCAGGATTCCAGTCGCGGTCCCCGAAGGAAAAAATGCGATTGAACTTTATTATAATGCGGCTGTTTACTTTGAAGCTTTCAGATACAACGTTTATATTAATCAGGAGCTGATTCACAAAGTTTCGGATGGAAACTTTTGACGTCTTTTTATTAAATATAGGAAAAAGATTTTCCTAAAGTAACTTTAATAATCTCATATCGGAGAAACTTGTTATAAGGCGTCGTAACAAAATGAAAATTTCAAAATAGATTATAACTTTCTGAAGCCGATACAGCCCGAGTAATTGTTTTAAACAAAACTGTTATTAAGGGCTGGTATCTTGATTGGGCGTTTCTTTGAAGTTATCCTTGTGATGCTGTCCACGGATCAAAGGTTTCCTTATTAGACGCCATCTGATAAGCTAAATTCGTTCCATAAAAGCGTTCACCTGCGATCAAAAGTTTTAACAGAGGTAAAATACATGAACTTGTCCACTCCATTCGCTGAGTTGTTCTGTCAAAGGACTTGATGAAATCGGCTTTCAATTAGCACACTGTGTCCTGTAATATCCTAATGGATGTTGCTGTCAATTAGCAGCCATATTATGTGTCCATTTACGTAGAAGTACGTTTGTGAATGTTATTGGTGTTATTTGGCATCTGCAGCAAAAGTACCCCTTTTTATGTATCATGAATAAGAGACCAACACCATTTGACCACTTTCCCGAATTCAAACTGTGATGTTTGCTTTAAGCTTCTCCACTATTGATTACAGCCTAACAGAACTAGTAACAGATCTATGCTTTCATATTTTCTTCATGTAAGCGGCGTTCGAATTAAATCGGCTTAATCCGCTTTCCGAATAATCCATTTTCGTGGAAGTAGCGTCCATTTGTCGGAGATTTTTCTTTTCGAATGGTTTAATTTAGGGGATTGTTTGAGAAACATCTGAATCGAGATTTATTGTGTCTACCTTTCACCTAAAACGGCATTATCTACTGAAAGCGACAGCTTTGTTAAAGATGAATCTTCTGTTGTGTTAAAGGTCGAACGTTCAGGAGACAAAGAAAACCGTGCAAACTTTGGAATAAACTGATTTCTTGCAGAAACTTTCTTCGACGTTTGCTATTCAAATGAGACTTGTTATTATTAATGCAGTATCTCGTTGCATGCAATTGCAAGGAGTTGCAATTAACGTGATACCAGTTCCTTCGAACGACAATTTCCTTTCTGGGGAGACGTTAATGATTCCGGGCCCTCATTCCGCACCTGTGATTTTAAGGAATTTTCGGGATGCTCCGAATTTACTTAATAACAGTTATTAGAAGGAGCGGTTAAAATGCCATGCACCGTCATTTCGTACTGCAGTCGTTATTTGTACAGAGAAAATTAGTTTAATTTGTTTTCTCGTCGGCTACAGAATTAATGACAACAATTCGATCTAGTCGATTATGTTTGGCAGGCTGCTTTTGAGAGAAAAAGAAAGCACAAAATTCATTATTTCACGATTTTTATACGCGAAACCCTATTTGTTGTTGGATTGTATTGTTATTCAGTGAATAGTAACAGCGACAAAGAGAACGTTTCGAAAATACCACCAGATTAGATCGAATTACTTTGTTCACTATTGCTTTTGCTATCTGGAAAAGTCGATCTCGGGATCACGATTTGAATTTACTTTGTACTTTTTTATAATTAGTGAGATAAGGGAGGATAATTACCACTTTCGGACCGTACTCTCAAATCTGGTCAGTTTTAAGTCGCCGAACAAATTACTTTGTTGATGATACTGATCTTTATTCCCCTGTGTACATCGTTACGTTAATTTAGAGGCATTTACGAAATTTATAGACCTGGTTAATAATCCTGAAAGTAACTAATTAAACGGATCCAATCATCCTGGAACGCTCAAAACAAGCTTAGCAAAGCAAATTCGCACAAAAATCACCTCGGTCGCGAAACTAATCCTGAAATACTCGAACTTTTTCTCTTGTATTTACAATCAGCGAACTTTGACCAAAGAAAAAATACAACAAAAGCGGCATTAACAATTCCGTTTTCATTCGCCAACTTCATTGTTGTGATGGTTTTTTCAATGAGGGACTCAAAAGAGTTTCTTGATTCCTTGTGAAATTTGACGAAACTCACGTGTTCTATCTGTGATCTTTCTAATCTAACACTGTTGTGTAAAGAACTTCAAGTAATTTATTCTCAAAGAGAAGTTTTGTGGAACACGCTTGTGCGACCTTGTTACGAAATGTAGACCACATCTAAATAATTGTCTCTCTGAATTTAAAAAAATATGTTTGTGGCAGTTATTCCGGTTCGCTCGTAATCAAGATTCTCTCAGTGTTAAGCAATCTTAATATTGGATGAAGGTATCTCGGCGAGGATAAAGTATCAAGTGAATTTTATTAAAGTCTAGTTTTACAAAGACACCTCACTTCTGGAACCAGTAAATTTCAATTCCTTTTGAAACAAAATCAAATTATATCTGAGTTCCGTGGGTTTCTAGAAATTCTAGGATTGTTCTGATTACTTCCGGTGGCAAGTCATTGGCTCCGACTAGAGTTATCTCTTTCAAACTATAAGTAAAACTCGAGAAACGGCGGTATTTCTATGACGGAATACTTCTCTGTTCGGCGTGTGGTTGAAACTGGAAAACTATTTTCAACTTAGTGAAGTCAGTTCTTGGTGTTAAGTTAGGTGGATATTATCTCCTTCGAACTCTATAGTGACATTGCCTGAAAAATTAAACACTCTTCAAGCCTTTCATTATGCGCGACAGTTAATAAAAGAACTTAATGGAACGGCCTTTTTCAGATTATAATTGAAATATTAATGTCGGTTTCAAATATTTAATTTTCTCGTTGTGAAAAATGCAGGAGATTTTAGAGGCATGAACGCGGCGATGAAGCCTTTCTTATTTATTTAACCCTGTCTTTGTGTAATTTCCCGACTAATATTAAACCTGGATATTAAAAAGCCGACTTTCGCCGGCAAACAAACGGGTGAGCAAAAATGATGGGTGCGTATCGGATAATTGTCACCCATCGAATGAATCAGTGAACAAACACGATAAATTATGGACCGTTCATGTCCGATACAATCCGTAATCCGTTCATTGGAAAATATAGTGAAGACCTCTGCTTTGTAGCTAGTAAATCAGAGGGGCAGCTAACCTAACCTGAATATATGAGCTCGAGCCCCATTCCGATTGAAATGTCTGCTGGAAAACGAACAGCGAATCCTGGCCGAAATTCCCCGTAAATGCGCAACACTGAACGGACGAGACGTATTCCGATCTTACTGTTGTACTTTAATGTATCCCTGAGATCCTGCTGGAATGTCAAACGGCCTTACTTCGTTTCCGGGACCCTAATAAATGGAGATATTAGGCGTCACTTGGTAATTCTGCGACGGGGCTATATATCTGGGGATGGATTATTGTCAAAAACGAGAAGATGCCTTCGAAATAACATCAACTAAGTCCCCCAGTAGATGAAATCGGGTGGGTTGGAAGTGTGGATCACAATTAATCGGAAGCTAATTAAACCTAGAAACAGGGCTCATTTTGCTTCAACTCACTCTCGTTTTGATATCATCGAGATTATATCACGAAAAGTTTTTATTTAATGTCTTCTGATATTAATCGTGTTTGATGTTAACTATTTCTGATTTAAAATAAAATGAGCTTTCCACCTGCCGCTTCCTTAATATGAACAGATGTCTGAAAATTTTGAAATAGCATGGTGGGTAAAGATATGAAGTTTGCTTTGAAGTATTGAAACTATTGGGGGTCTCATAACAGACTGTCAATTGCGATTTCCATCTCTTATCACTTATCACTTATCATTTATCATTACGACACTGAGGAAAAGCAAGAAGTTGCAGAAATTAAGATACTTAGAACCGTGACCCACCAAAATTACCCGTCAAAAAGCCCCCAAAAAATAGCCCAGCGACAAAATAACCCGGCATAAATTTGTTTTAATAAAAGAATATATATTAATTTTTATTTGGAAAAGTACAAATGTTTTAGAATGTACTTTTTGGTTTTTATTTATTCACTTATGTTTGAAACTTGTTTATCTGAGACAATAGAGAGGTCATTTCCATCAGGTCAGGTCAGGTCAGGTCAGGTAAAGTCGGATCGGATCAGGTTAGATTGGGTCAGGTCGAGTCAGGTCGGGTCAGCGGAGGTCAGATTTTTATTTATTCACAGCAATGTTTAAAACTTGTTTATTTGACAGAATAGAGAGGTCAGGTCAGGTCGAATCAGGTCAGGTCAGCTCAGGTCAGGTCAGGTCAGGTCGGGTCAGGTGAGGTCAGGAAATAATTAAGTAGAAATGCTTTTATGCATACAATATATATTTTTCTATAAAAAAACTGGGAATTCTTTTTCATTTATAAAAAGTTTCAAACTTTCAAGTTTTTTAAATTTTCCATTGAAGAGTGCATATACCGGGTGTATGGAAAATGGCGGA